TCTCTCTCTGTGTGTGTGTGTGTGTGTGTGTGTGTGTGTGTGCACGCGCAAACACATATATGTGTCGCTGCTTGCACCCATGCATAGATGTGGAGGCCGGAGAAGGATGTTGAGTATCCTGTTCTGTCACCCATCTTTTTATTCCCTTGAGATAGGGTCTCTCGCTGGAGTTGGGCTGGTGGCCAGCACGCCCGAGCAATCTTCCTCTCTTCCTCCCTACATTGCCGTAGCTACAGACACACACAGCTGTGCCTGGCTTTTTACATGAGTGCTGAGGATCTGAACTGAGGTCCTCATGATGGCACAGCAGGAGCTCTCACCTGCTGAGCCGTCTTCCTAGCACCCCACTCCTTTCTGTGTCGAGCAACAATTCCTTTGCCATTTACACCTTGTTTCATTCCATTTCATTTACAATCGTTTGGGAATGTTAAGCAGATTCCATATCACCTTATTTAAAACTCATCCATGGCTATGGGAGATGGGGAGTGGAGAGTTGTTTAATAGGCACAAAATTTTGCTTTGAGCAGAAAAAAAAATAGTGCTAGAAGTGGCTGATAATGATGGATGATAACACTTTTACAATAGCAGGAATATGCTTAATGTTGTGAACAGTATGCTTTGAAATAATTACAATGGTAATCTTACATCGTGGGTGTAGTTTTTTGTTGTTGTTTTATTGTTGCTGTTTTAAGGTTTTTGTTTTCTTTTTTTAAACTTCATTTTTGTGTATATGAGTGTTTAGCTTGCATGTATGTATGTCTACCACATGTATGCCAGTGCCTGTGATCCACCAAATAGGTACTGAGAATGAACCTGGGCTCTCTGCAAGAATAGCAAGTGCCCTTAACTACTAAGCCATCTCTCCAGGCCCTAGTTTTGGTTTGAGGACAGGGTCTCATTATGTAGGCTAGACTGGCCTGGAACTCGCTATATAGACCAGGTTGCTGTTTAACTCACAGAGATCTACCTGCCACTGCCCCCTGAGATTAAAGGCATGCGTCACCACACCCAACATTGTGTGCATTTTAAAATTACATTATATTTTGTGTGTGTATGAGTATGTAGGCACATACATGCTATGATATGTGTGGGGAAGTCAGAGGACAATTTGAAAAACCTGTCTCTCTCTTTCCACCATGTGGGTCTCAAGGATCGAACTCAGTACCTCAGGCTTGGTGGTAGGCATCTTCACCTACTGAACAATCTTGCTAGTGCCCTTCACCATTATGAGACAGAGTGAGTGGCTTCTCTAGCAGAGAGTGGTCTCTAGCTTGCTGTGCAGCCAAGGCTTGCCTTGAGCTCCTCATCCTCCAAGAATATAGGGATTGTAGCTGTGTGCCACCACTGACCAGCGTTGTGTACCATTTCTACGCCTGCTCAGTGCAGTACTGAGGATAGAGCCAAGAAAGCATTCTACCAAATGAGCTCCATCCTGCCCTATGTTTTATACACATTTTACTACAGCTTTAAAACAAGCCCACAAAGCTCTGTGTGACCAATCCCTGCAGACATCCTTGACTCATCTCAGGTTTCCATTTACTGATGTCCAGTTATACTAAGTCTCTCCCACCCCGTTCTCCAACTTTCCCCTCGATTTTCTGCAGCAGGATGTTTGCACTCACACTTCCTAGAATACAAGACAGACACCTTCTCATCCTTCAAGCCTTATATCTTGGGCCGTCTGACAACTCTGTCAAAAGCCCTTTCCCTGGGTTTGACCCCAGTCTCCGCTCTGTGGATATTTGTCATTGCACAGTTCACAGCACATCTGCTTACACTATAGGTTGGTGGTATTTACAGACTGATACAGGCAGGGCTCCTGCCTTCCTTATTTACCCTGGTGTCACAGGAGCAAACCAAGCCAGACTGGGTCTTCCTGTCTTTTTCCCCTAGTGCTGTGAAAGGCCACTCACTGACTGTCAAGGATCCTCGGGGTTAGAACTTTTTTCTTTCACCACTTTGTTGCTGTTGTTGTTGCTGCTACTCTTGTTCCTGCCATTGCTACTGTTGCTGCTGCTACTGTTGCTGTTGTTGTTACTGCTGCTGCTGCTGCTGTTGCTGCTGCTGTTGTTTAGTTAGATAGGGATAAGACCCAAGCTAGCCTGGAACTGGAGTTCTCCTGCTTCTACCTCCTAATAGCTGGGATTATAGACATGTGACTCTACATCTGGTATGCCACTACTTTACTAACCAAATTTTTCCTGTGTTTATTGAATATTTATTACACACCAGGAACATTCCTACAATCTGTATATGGTATTTCCAACAATCTTCATGGCACGTCTGTTCAACTCGAATGCTAATTAAAGCACTGTCAGTAGCCACCTTAACAGATAAGGAAACCAAGGCTCAAGATCAATAATGTGCCTACAGTCTTACAGCTAGTGAGAGACAGTTATAATCTGCGAACCTATCTGTCATCTCTGCCACTTAGAGTATAGGCCAGGCAGTGGGGAATAAGCATGTGACCATGGTCTCTGGTCATCTGTGGCTTGGTTGTGATGCCCTTGATTTGGGAGGTTCATTCAGCTAGATGGCTGAACCCCCCCCCCCAGTCCTGCCCTCATTAGCCACTCAGGAGCTCCCCCAGGATCTCCACTATCTGTGGATCCAATGACATGCTAGACACTATTAGGAAGCTTGTAGCCCTGAGTTTGACTTAGTCATGGGAGTTGATATAGTACAATAGACTAGATGACTTCCACCACAGTGTTCTCCCACAGTTGTGGAGGCTGGACATCAGAGATGAAGTGCTGGCATGGGTAGGTGCCAGTGCGAGCTCTCTTGGTTTATACGTGGCAGAGAGAGGTTGCAGACTTTCTGTGTCTTTCCTCTATCACAGCAGCCCAGTTTCTAGGACCTCACTTAAGCCGGCTTACCTTCCAAAGGCCCTGCCTCCAAACCCTCATCATTTTGGAGGTTAAGGCTTTATATAGGAACTTGGGGGTTCAGCAAACAGTATTATCATTGCCACAGTCCTGAAATTAAGATACTACTGTTGCTAGTGAAATTTATTTTTGAAGAGGTAAAGCCTGATGTTTTTCCTCTCTCTAAGGCTCCATAGTTTGAAAGATGGCAAATATACTTTCCTTTTGGAGGGTGATAGGATGCTTATATAGTACTAGAATAATAACCCACAAGTCACTTGCTAATTCTAGACTGTCAAATGTTTCTTTTTATTGGAGATATTTGTGGCCTTTATAGATGGGATGGAATTAACATCACCAGTAAATAGTCAGTTGGCATCACAAGCCCTGTGAGATGGTTGCTTCATAGAGGTGCCTACACAATAATGATTCATCCAAGTCTATCTAGCCATGAACACAGGCAGATATATCCATAATGTAGACTAGTCTGCAAGATAATTGGTCTAGGTTTTAAAAGGCTGAAGAAGCTACTTGGGGTGGGCAAAAAGGCATGGAAAAATCTATAGTGTCAGACAGTCAGTAGCTGTTGATGACATTGATAGCTTTGAATATGGTGTGTGTTTTCAGCTTTTGCTAGTGTTTCTAACATCATTTGTTGAATTCTTTTTTTGTTGTTTTTTAGGGGAATGAGGTGGGCTAAGGGGTGCTGGGAATCAAACCCAGGTCCCTGAGACACATGCTACATCCCCAGCCATGTTGAAGAGTTCCTGTGAACTAACCACACTCCTAACCAGGCAGAAGGAGTGATAGATTATGAAGAAATGTTAAAAGCTGGAGGATCTAGTCACAGATAGCAGAATATGCCCATAATCCCAGCTACTCCAGAGGCTAAACCAGGGATTACAAATTTGAGGCTAGTCTGGGCTGTATAATGATTTTTTTTTTGCCTCAGAACTAATTTTTATTTATTTATATTTTATGTATTAGTGCTCTGCATGTATACCTGCATGCCAGAAGAGAGCATCAGATCCTATTACAGATGGTTGCGAGTCACCATATGGTTACTGTCTGAGCCATCCCACCAGCCCCAGAACTAATTTTTAAAGAAGGAGTAGAGATACATAGAACTCAATGATAGAGTGCTTGTCTAACATGTGCAAGCCCTGGGTTCTGACCCCAGCACCACAAAATAAACAAAACCCTGGGTGATATAGGTAAAGGACGTATCAGTATTTGTCAAGTCATTCTTGGATTTGTGGATAGAAACTTGATCAAATTAAAAGTCAGATGGGAAAAAGAGTCAAATGCATTAAGAGTAAAGAGTCTCATGAGAAAGCTGCACGGTGGTGGCAGCCATGGGAAGCTGTTCTCAGAAGGCCTGGGTGCATGTCTGTTGCCACAACACTCACCACGGGAGACCATAGCTACCAGACTCAGACACTTTATGTTTAACTGTGAAGATATTAACAATGCATTTCTCATGCCAGGTGGTGGTGGTGGCGCATGTCTTTGGTCCCAGCACTCGGGAAGCAGAGGCAGGCAAATCTCTGTGAATTCGAGGACAGCTTAGTCTACAGAACAAGTTTCAGGACAGGCTCCAAAGCCACATAGAAACCCTGTCTCGAAACCCCCACCACTACCGCAACCACACACACACACACACACACACACACACACACACACACACACACACACACACACACACACACGCACCAATGAATTTTTCTGATGAGTCCACAGCAAGACTTTAGCCACAGTGCCATTGTTATTCGGAGCAGGCACTAAGGCTACCCTGCATATGGAAGGATCCTTCTGGTCTCCTTTCATCAGGAACCAGCACTG